GGGACAGAAATTGGAGTAGATGTAGATTGGTCAACTCTATTATCCATGGACAGCAGAAGATCCCGCATATGGCATGAAAAAGACTCAGATGGAGGCACGAAAGGTCCATCTGCGCTCCCACTGTAGCAGTGGAGCGTAGTGCAGAGGCATATGTCCGAGATGTAGGAGGGAACAATAGCTTCCAAGCCTCAGGATAAGAGATGTTATTAAGAGTCTTCAAACGCTGTACCTCTTTCTCCTCCACCCACTTAGGGCAAGACTTAAAGTAAGAGGGGTGGGAACCACTACAATTAACACAGTGAGGGTCCAGTTTGCACTCGTAGGAGTCCTGGTCCTTGCCAGCACAAAGAGCACACGTCACAGAACCATGACAAGATGTCTTTGAGTGACCGAACCACTGACACTGAAAACATCGGAGAGGGTTGGGAATATAGGGTCGTACCTTACAGTTCAAATAACCTGCCTTAATGGTGGCAGGTAGACGTGGTGATGAAAACGTCAAAATCAAAACTGAGGTCAGCACCATAATTCCATCTTGACGAGTGGAGATCCTTCGAACTGCCAAAACTCCTTGGCTGGAGAAACCAGCAAGGATCTCTGACTCGGGGATAAACTTCAAGTCCCTCTCAACAATAACTCCTCGTGAGGAGTTCAAGGAAGCGTGGGGAGTAACCTCAATGGCCTTTGAATTCAAGAGAAGTTCACTGTGCTTAGGATTGAAAGTTTCTACTAAGATGTCTCCAGAACGGAGCTTCTTAACTGACTTTGGAGAGCCAGCAAGCCCCTCCAAGCCCTTCTGAATAAAAAGGGGAGACATTTGCACTAAAGATTTATCAGACAGTGAATACATGATCAAAAAATGAGGTACTGGTGTACTTTGTGATGGAGACTGCTGTTCAGAATCTTCTAGGCATGGTCGTTTACCAATTAGCAGATTTTTTAATTTTTTTTTATTTGGAATGGGGGGATCCATAATTAAAGAAAGAGATTCAGTGCCGACTGACCCCACCCGCCATGGAGTCCTATGAGGGGATGCAGCAATGCCAGGGTTTCGTGAGCACTATTCCCAAAACACCAGTATCAGACACAATGTCCACAACACACGTTGAGAACGCCCAACACTGGACTCAGTTGACCCTAGCCCCAGTAGACCAGCCCGAGTCGGACCCGTAGGGGGGCCACCTCCCAAGGCCCACCCG